GAAGCAACTAGTCTGCTTTGGAATCCTCAAAAGAAATATTCTACCGAATATTCCCTCTAATTGTACCTTTTCTTTTAATACTTTCTAGGAATACCCCTTATAAATAGGAAGGGAGGACTACCCAAAAAGGGGGCTGGGGCTCTCTCTCTCTCGGTCTCGGTCTCCCTCTTTCTAGAAAATATGTGAACACATCTCTCAAAAGAGGGAAGAGGATCTGTGATCCAAAACCTTCATCAGATCCAAAAAGGGTCCAATGGTTCTTGTATTTTGTCTATCATTCATCTTTATCAAATGAAAGAAGATCCGACTCACTCAAGATCGGGTGAATCTTTTCCTTTATCTACATTTTATTGCCATTTAATGTTATTCAATGCATCTTTCTTTATGTTATTAAATCTGGCTATAATCACGCCCTGATTGATTTGCTTAAAAAGAGTTTAACTTCTTTTGAGTCAAACAATTTGGCGCCGTCTGTGGGGATTTTCTAGTTAAAATTGTAGTTTTCTCTAGATCTAAAATTCAATCCTAGCGAGTTCTTGTGTAGCTTCTACAGCACATATATTTACCACAGCTTTTGCTTGCTAATGACCAATAAAATCTTCATGCATCACATGTCAAAGCTTTCTGAAAAAAATCCTATACCCAAACCCAAGCATAAAGTGAAGTCTATATTTATCTCTCTGCCTTTTGTTGTTTGCAATAAGAAAGAAGCAGAATCTATGCTTTTGACCAAGTCCATGGCGGCTAAGGAAAAAAGCACAAACAACTGTTTTATCCGCCCTTTGTCACACAAAATTGATGGGAACCCGACTTCCTATTGGGGTTTCTCAGCTCCGCGGAAGTAAACAGAGTACTGACTTCTGGATTTCGTTTTGGGCATATATACATACACCCTTGTAGTTGCTAGGGCGGTTGTTCACACATTTTGCACTTCGATTTTTGTGTCCAAGCACGTCCGCTTGAACCTATGCTCGATAAGATGGATTGTGAATTGTCGGTGCATGCATGAAACGAATAAGTTCATGCCATATGTCTTATGCATAAGGTCTATCATTTAATATAGTTGCTTAATGAGTACAATTTTACTTCAATTTATCAATTGATCATACATGCCGACATGTGAATCTGAAAAGGGCTCTTCTTTAAGTTTAATAGAAACCATGTTTTCTTCTCACCCAATTACTACTCCTTCTACATTCGATTTGCTTCAAACTCCATCACCACCTGTACCTTTATCGGTTCCATCACAAATAGTTAATAAGATTCCGTCGTCTGAGATTGTAAATACTCCTAATTCGTCCTCCATCTCTTCATCATCAAGATCGGCTGCTGCCAATGGTGATCAACTACAGCCCATCACTCAAACAGTAGATGATGATGATCAACACAAGAATAAGAAACAACGATGAATTTGGGAGAGGCTCGACTTTACTTCAGCGTCACCGCTTCCTGCTAATTGTGCTTACCCTCCAAGCATTTCTTTGCACTAGATCAAACTGAGGTAACAAATGCTTTTATTGTATTTTAACTAACTATTTCTCCAAGTGGAATAGAAGCAGGAGCAATCACTAGGAAACGCATCATATTCTCCAATGCAAGCAAAATTAAAAAAATTGGGATTAAGGCTAAGTGCCTTCGCCATCAAAGGTTAACAGTTCGACCTCGCTCGAACTGGGACTCAGGCTAAGTGCCTTCGCCATCAAAGACTAACAGTTCGACCTCGCTCGAACTGGGACTCAGGCTAAGTGCCTTCGCCATCAAAGTTTGACAGTTCGACCTCGCTCGAACTGGGACTCAGGCTAAGTGCCTTCGCCATCAAAGTTTGACAGTTCGACCTCGCTCGAACTGGGACTCAGGCTAAGTGCCTTCGCCATCAAAGTTTGACAGTTCGACCTCGCTCGAACTGGGATTAAGGCTAAGTGCCTTCGTCATCAAAGGTTAACAGTTCGACCTCGCTCGAACTAGGATTAAGGCTAAGTGCCTTCGCCATCAAAGGTTAATAGTTCGACCTCGCTCGAACTGGGACTCAGGCTATACCATCAAAGATTAATAGTTCGACCTCGCTCGAACTGAGACTCAGGCTATGTGCCTTCTCCATTAAAGGTTAAGAGTTCGACCTCGCTCGAACTGGGACTCAGGCTAAGTGCCTTCGCCATCAAAGTTTGACAGTTCGACCTCGCTCGAACTGGGACTCAGGCTAAGTGCCTTCGCCATCAAAGTTTGACAGTTCGACCTCGCTCGAACTGGGATTAAGGCTAAGTGCCTTCGCCATCAAAGTTTGACAGTTCGACCTCGCTCGAACTGGGACTCAGGCTAAGTGCCTTCGCCATCAAAGTTTGACAGTTCGACCTCGCTCGAACTGGGACTCAGGCTAAGGGCCTTTGACATAGAAGAATAGTTCGACATCGACCGAACGACGACGGGTTAACATTTCGAGAAGTCGAAATAACACCCCTTAAGGCCAAGGGCCTTCGCCAAAGAGAAGAGTTCGACCTTGATCGAACGACGACGGGTTAACATTTCGATAAGTTCGAAACCCTTTTAGTCCAAGGGCCTTCGCCAAAAAAGAGGAGGTCGACCTTACGGCCAAGGGCCATCGCCCAAAAAAAAAAGAATTCGGCCTCGTCCGAATCAACATTCGGCCCAGTCCGAATCAACATTCGGCCTCGTCCGAATCAGAATTCGGCCTCGTCCGAATCAACAATTCGGCCTCGTCCGAATCAACCTTCACCCTTACGGCTAAGGCCGTCGCCAAAGGAAAGAGTTCGACCTCGTTCGAACCACAACGGGTTAACATTTCGACAAGCTCGAAATAATACCCTTAAGGCCAAGGGCCTTCGCCGAAAGGAAGAGTTCGACCTCGATCGAACGACTACGGGTTAATATTTCGACAAATTCGAAATAACACCCTTCAAGGACGAGGGCCTCCGCCAAGAAGAAGTGTTCGACCTCGATCGAACGATGACGGGTCAATATTTCGACAAAATCAAAATAATACCCTCTAAGGCCATGGGCCTTCGCCGAAGAGAAATCGAAATGTCCCTAAGGCCAAGTGCCGTCAGAAAATATAAAGGAAAGAAAGACAGGGACTCGCCATGCAGGAATCTACCTCGCACCAAAGTCGCGAAAACATGGAAAAGTACAAGGCGAATAACAACGAAAAGTTCTTCTTTATACAAAGTCACTGCGCAAAAAGTCGCAGATTACATACGACCCGGATTAATGGTCAAAAAAGACAGCTATCTTTTCACTCGGCGGCACCATCGCCACTCTCTTCACCACCATCTCCGAGATATTCTCCCTCGGCATCGGCATCCTCAGCTGCAACCCATACTAGTCGACCTCCCCATCCGAATTTCTCGAACTACGATTAATGAAGTCCGCTCACCGAGCTCGACCAAGAGACGGCCTCGATAAGCGGAGGGACTAACTGTATGGGTCAAAATTAGACCAGAGAAATTCGGCACGCGAAGACATAAGGCCAAGGTCGGACAGGCCGAGGTCGGACAGGCCAAGGTCGGACCATCACCAATAAAGCCAAGGCCGGACCATCACCAATAAGGCCAAGGTCGGACCGTCATCAGTAAAGCTGAGGTCGGACCGTCATCAATAAAGCCGAGGTCGGACAGGCCAAGGTCGGACAGTGATGAAACAACTAGTCTGCTTTGGAATCCTAAAAAGGAATATTCTACCGAATATTCCCTCTAATTGTACCTTTTCTTTTAATGTTTTTCTAGGAATACCCCTTATAAATAGGAAGTGAGGACTACCCAAAAAGGGGGTTGGGGCTCTCTCTCTCTCTCGGTCTCCCTCTCCCTCTTTCTAGAAAATATGTAAACACATCTCTCAAAAGAGAGAAGAGGATCTGTGATCCAAAACCTTCATCAGATCCAAAAAGGGTCCAATGGTTCTTGTATTTTGTCTATCATTCATCTTTATCAAATGAAAGAAGATCCGACTCACTCAAGATCGGGTGAATCTTTTCCTTTATCTATATTTTATTGCCATTTAATGTTATTCAATGCATCTTTCTTTATGTTATTAAATCTGGCTATAATCACGCCTAATATATATACTCGGCTATGCTTTTCTACTCATATTATTCGTCTCGGATCTAGAATTAATTATCTTTAACTAGGATTTACCCCTTCATCTATTTGATTGATTTGTTTAAAAAGAGTTTAACTTCTTTTCAGATATTAAGTTCTTGACATACTGGTTTTAGGCATCTCTTTACTGTCGTATGTATTTTAGAGGACTTGAACAATTGAAGTTCACTTCTACTCGTCAAATTCTCACGATATATCAAACATCCGCTATTTTGAAGTGGAAAAAAACAGAAAAAGAAAAAGATAGAAAAGAAAATGTCATAACTTTTCATAAATGCGATAAGACTAAATTTTACAACAATTCTGTATTTAAGTTTTTATTTCTTAAGCAAAAGATGTTTATTATTTTTCAATATCTTTTTGGATTTTCCACTCCATGTCCAGTATTAGAGTTCACTAATAGTCTGTTTGACCAAACCTATAAAATTAGCTTATTTTGAAAATTATTTTTAAAAAAATTACGTTTGATGAAAAGCAGTTTATGTTTGATTATTTAATTTGAGAAGCACTTTTAAATAGCAATTAACGTTTGGTCAAGGTTTAAAAAAATACTTCTAATTGTATTTTTTTTTTTAAAAGTACTTTTGGAAACAAGTTATTTTTTAATTCTCAAAATTATTTATACTTCTACTCAAAAATACTTTTTTCTTTTCAAAATTTAGCCAAGTACCTTAATTTTAATAAAAGATACTTTTAACCAAAAAAAGGACAAATTTGCTCCAGGTAAATCACATTAAAGAGAAAAATCTTTCTTTAGCAAATATTTTTCATTCTCAATACTTAAATTTTGTAGTAACTCAAATTTGCTTAACCAAATATACTATTTTATTCCTATTTTCAATCTTCAATCAATTACTCAAGAAAAAGAAAACAAGGCTTTTCCTCCCTTTCTCTCTCTCTCACACAGTATGTGTGTGTCTATGGTGAATTGATGCCACCAAAGCACAACACAAAGTGGTCATCCCCACTCCCACACAACTCTTCATTCTTCTTCTTCAACTAACACAATATCTCTTTCCCTTTTTTTTTTTTTCAGTTTCCCACTTTAGGGTTTTCTTTCTTTCCCTTTTTTAACAATTCAACTGTATTATATCCCACAACTAACCTATCTGATTCACTTGTTACAAAAATACTCATTTTTTCCTTTCTGGGTCTTGTTGATTTGGTACAGAGCTACCAGAATTTACTCATTTTGAAGCATTTTTGAGGTGAAGTTTGAATCTTTCTTGCTGAATTTTTTGTCAAGAAAGTTGCTTTCTTTGACGAAATTTACCTTCTTTTTTTAAGCTTTCTGTATTATGGGGTGTTAAATTATCAATTTTCTTGGTATTTTTCTTCTTCTGAATTTTGACATGATTGAACAATTACCTGTTTTTTTTATTGCATTTAAATTGATATTATATGTAGATATGGATTCTCTTTATTTGATGATACATAAAGGATCTGTGTTCTGGAGAAGCAATTTTGATTTTTGAAGTTCTAGATTTACTGTGTGGTTGTTTAAAAATTGAAATCCACCTTTTTTAACTTTTATTTTTCTTTATTCATGGAATAAGTCCTATTATCCCTTATTTATCCATTGTTAATTTAGTGCTGGTGAGCAGTGTAGGAGATTTACTCCAACTGTGAATATTATGTATAGTGTATTATTTTACTAACCTTAAGTTAAAAAATAATGGAGCAAATTGAGAATGCGGAAATTTTCAGAGTTTGACTGAGTTATAGTTGCCTGTAATGGTTAGTTGCTCTGTGCAAATACACGGCGGCATCAATTCTTGATTGAGTTCTTTTTGCAGAGCATTGAATTGGCTCCTTGTGGTGCTTTGAAGCTTGGCGTATAATTGATTTCTCGTAGAAGGAAGACAAAATTGCGCTTGCAGACTTCTTTGTGATTATTGCTTCCTATCTTTAGTAAGTTGAGTAAGGCGGATGGAGACTGCGAAACGGTGGTTCAGCAAGCTTGGCAAAAAAGATAAGCCCAAGCCTCCGAAGAAGCAGGAAACTACTACTAGTAATGGGAAAGAAGGGTCAAAATGGTCATCACATGAGGAAACACCTTCAACTGCCACTAAACAGAAAGCTGCAGCTGCCAAGCAGTACATAGAAAAGCACTACAAAGAACAAATGAAGAGCTTGCAGGAGCGCAGAGAGCGGTATGTTACTTATACTTTTTCCATAGGATGACTGTGAATCAGTATTGGTCATTCCTAGATACATGTTCTTGCAAACGTTCATTTGATCATTGGTCCGACTTGTATTAACTGAGGTTGCCATTATGCAACAATTAGAATCTTAGTTACATCAGATTTCAGGGTCTTGCAACTCTAACAAACATTGGAAAGCTTAGACATCTATGCAATGACTATTTTCTCGTCCCTTCTCCTGATCATCCTTGAATCTATTATCCCATTCCAAAAGGTTTTAATGTAGTTTTGTGTTGATTATATTGTTAACAATAACTTCAGAATGGGATAGTTAAAATGGATTTCATTTCATAGAGGGAACACTGATTTAGTCTGTTTTTACAACTTGATCAAATAAAAAAGGACATAGAGGGAACTCTGTACTCTTTCCTGAACAAGTCATACAGCCTCATCCTGGCACGTGGAGTTGATTCATTAATTTTGTCGTGACATTTCCATTCTTTTGTTGGTATTTAGATGATGAGTGATGTATCCGCAGGGGGCGGTTTGTGCTAATAATAAAGAGTCGATGGCTGATGCTAATAATAAAGATTGTTCTAGATAGCTGGAAACGAGCTTTGTCGTCTTAATTCCATGAAATGTTGGGTCATGATGAATTGTTGTGGATGCAGTATTAATTTGTGATAGTCCAGTCGTGATTTGTTAGCCTTTGAGAAATTACCGGTTTAGTTCGTGGTTTTCTTGGTATGTTTGCATATAGAGTGTCCTAAGATTGAAATCAAAGTTTGAGAGGAATCAAATGTTTAGAAAACAATTGTGATGGTTTGCTCTGTGCCACTTTGTGGCAAATAAACTCCTTGCAATGGTTAACCATTCCTGGAGAAACATTATCTGGATTGCAAACTGATACAGGATTCCATTCCCGATTTTGCTCATGTGAGGTTCACATATTCATATCAATCAGGAGTGGGAAAAGTTATTGAAGTTCCCAACTCTTGCCAACAATTTCCTGCATTTTGGCGTTTGTTGATAAACCTAGTTACGGATTTTCAAGTGATTGCATTTGGTTGTGAGTTTTGGGAAACACTGAATTGCCCTTTGGTGATATGGATTTGACTTCTAATATATATCTTTGTAGATGTAAAGTTATTTGTGAAAACAGAGACTCAAACTGCATATGAACTTTTGGTGCATATGAGAATCCTATTAGCATCGATAACTTGCTATTTGTAGAGAACGATATTTTTGTGTAAGTTGTCTACTTTTGTATCCGACTTGTATACAAAAATTCGAATTTCCACCCCATCAATACAAATATTACCTTTTGTAAAGAAAACTGCAAATATAGAAATTTTTATTGTTATTGTTAATTGCCTTTAGCTCAGTTTTAGGCCTAGCTATGGGAGAATCTAGAGTGGACAAAGCATTCACAGTTGCATTTGTTCGTACTGAAAGTAATTATGAGCAGAAAATTGTTCAGCTTCTTGTTGGTCTTCCTTGATTAATATGGATTTAACCTCTAGTATGTATCCACACAGATTTATGTAATCTATGAAAATAGAGCACTGAAACTGCAAATATAAAACTTACTATATTAGTGCTGATGGCCTTTAGCGAAGGTCTAGCTTTATCATAGCCAAAGAAGACAGAAACTAGAGTTAACAGTTTCTGCTACTTATTTCTTGTCCCTGATAATCTGCAGTATGATATGCATGTGTATGAAAATCCAAAGTAGCTAGTAGTATACAGTGGGGAGTTTGTTTAATTATCAATTAATTGCAGTCCTTATATTACTGATTAATTTTTGCGCTCAGTTTTCTTTCTTCCATTATGATCTCTTTTAGCAAGTTGGTCAAGTGATTTTAGAAACCTTTTGGTAGTTGGTGAATCTGCTGATATACAAATCATGCCTTTACCTCACTAACTTCATACTCATAGGCTAGCCAAACAAAGCTTTACACTCAATGCTCGCTTCATCTCTTTTACCAAGTTGATTTAGTGTTTTTAGAACCTCTTCATAACTAGCCAACCAACATTTGCTCTATTTGAGCCATTACTTGCAATTGTAGAGTTTACAAGCATGTTTTTGGGTTGACATGTCTTAAGACTTGATTATAGAATTTCTCTGGATAAGTTAAACAATCATGTGTCACCCTTCATTCTTTTGCAAAATTACTTGTCTCAAGTCTTTTTGAAGTTTTCTTAGGCCATCAATGAAATCTTAAGTTTATGGTAATCCTCCTTTATATGATATGCGTCTCTTAATAGTTAATAGATGTGCTCTCTGTGCTATCACCATTCCTTTTATCTTTTCCATGTTCTTTGTGCTTTAAATGAATGGTGCATACAAAATCAATTTCTCTTAAAGAATAATCATTGTTTTCTTTGTTGCAGGCGCAATATGCTTGAAAAAAAATTAGCTGATGCTGAGGTTTCTGAGGAAGAGCAGAACAATTTACTGAAGTACCTTGAGAAAAAGGAGACAGAATTTATGCGCCGTCAAAGGCATAAAATGGGTGCTGATGATTTCGAGCCTTTGACAATGATAGGAAAGGGTGCATTTGGGGAGGTCTCTTTCTTCATCCCTTACCGCATACATCCTTTCTCCCATTTTATATCTGACCAGCATAACAGGCAAAGAGAGCTATGATTGGAAATCTTTTAAATTCTCTTATTTCTTTTTAATTCTACTTTTTAGCTTGTATCTTTTTCCCTCGGGGTTCAAGCATCCTTTTGGGGGAAATAAAACTAATAAAAGTAGAGGTATGGTAGAAAAGGGGGGCATTATGTCCTTGGGCTGAAACACTTTCATGGTTGTTTTCTACATCATACATTCTAACTCAGATAGTTGGAAATTGGAACTTTTTTCCTAGTGAACTGTTATGGGTTCTTTTACTCTTGGTGGGGTACACTTATCTTCGTGGTGGAAAGCTTTTGAGCTTTGATTGAGAAACGATATAATCAGTAAATCTTCACTCATAGACCCTCTCCTCTCTCTCTCTCTCTCTCTCTCTCTCTCGCGCGCGCGCGCACACACACACACACACCCCTGAATCGGAAATATGAATAACATTTGAGATTATATTCCTCTTGACCTTCTAAATTATCTTGTCTTGCTTCAGGTTAGGATATGTAAGGAGAAGGCAACTGGTCATGTCTACGCCATGAAAAAGCTTAAGAAATCAGAAATGCTTCGTAGAGGCCAGGTAAAGAACGCAGAGAACTTTCTCAATAGTTGCCTGGTGATTGTTTGTGTTGCACTTGCATGCTAGTTTCTGCTTATCAACTATTTTTTGTTAGGTTGAACATGTTAAAGCAGAAAGGAATCTGCTTGCTGAAGTTGATAGCAATTGCATTGTTAAGCTATATTGCTCTTTCCAAGATGAGGAGTATCTTTATCTAATAATGGAATATCTTCCTGGTGGAGATATGATGACTTTGCTGATGCGCAAAGATACTTTAACAGAAGATGAGGCCAGGTTTTATGTTGGGGAGACAGTCCTTGCTATAGAATCTATCCATAAACACAATTATATTCACAGGTGGGTACAATATTCTTTTTCTGTGTGATGTGATTGGCTGATTGCCTTGACCAATCAAAGTGTTCTTCTTTGCTCCTTTACTCTATTGTTCTCTAATCAGGAGGAATAACTCATCTATCCAAAATTTGCAGAGATATCAAGCCGGATAACTTACTACTTGATAGAAATGGGCACATGAAGTTATCAGATTTTGGATTATGTAAACCACTGGACTGCAGTAATCTTCAGGAAAAGGATTTCACAGCGGCAAGTAAGTTAAGTGGTGCTCTTCAAAGTGATGGACGCCCAGCCCCTCCAAGACGCACTCAACAGGAGCAACTGTTGCATTGGCAGAAGAATAGGAGGATGCTTGTAAGTCCTTATTACAACCATGATTAATGAACCTTTAATCCTCAAGATCTTAACCGCACCCCACTGCCTTCTCCCTAATCCTCCTTTAAGTAAAAAGATTAGATAGGAGAGAGAACTTAAGCACAAGTTAGAGGAAAAGCTCTTTTCCTCAAATAATATCACATCTGGTGCAAAGGATGTCTGTGTGAGGGGCATATGGAAAATATATATGTACCCCTTTGAGGTCCTGAAAACTATTACACATCTCTGTGTGGTAAACTAATGCTTACTTGCCTCTTTAATTTGCTACCGAGGACAAAAAGGCTTGCAATAAAAGTGACCTGAATCCAATGGACTACACCAGCACTGTCATCCTCTCTTCTCCTCACCTCCTACCCCTCTTGTGCTGGTATATATGCTACCCCTACTTTCAGTGCTGACTTCCTCTGATCTCTTTCTCTTTTTCTTTTGTCTTAATCCTCTATCATCACTTCTCTTGGTCGGAGCTCTTTGCCTATATTTCTGTCACCTCGGTTTAATGATGTGCCTGCAGAAGTTTCCTTTTCTATACTGTGTTTGATCATAAGAGTGAGATATGCTCTATTCCTATTCATTATCTCCCCCTCTCCCTACCCCCACCCAAAGTCTGGAGCAAATAGCTAGAGTGTTCTTGGATACTGTAATGCCTATCCTTATCGAAGTCATTACAGTGACTGCAGCTATAATAATAACAATAGCAAATTAGTAACAAAGCTTAAGACTTGATCATTCCTTGTTTTCTTATGTTCCAATGCAAACATAGACTAGAATTCCTACTTCCTACATTCTAAATTGGAGTCTACATCTTATGGAGTGTAGTGCAACATTATCTTAAATCTATGATGAGTTCTGAGTAACGAGTAATTTTGCAAACTAACAAAGGTAAGTGTTCTTCCCTCACCCCTGCTTCTGACTAGGAAAGTATTGTGATGAATTGTTATTTTTCTGAAACTCGTATTGATTACATGGAAACATTTAACACAGTGAAGTACTGCAGGCTTATTCCACTGTTGGAACACCTGACTACATTGCTCCAGAGGTTTTACTGAAGAAAGGATATGGATGTGAATGTGATTGGTCGGTATATTTGTATTATGTTCTCTCTTTCAATTAAAAGCTTATCCATTTTTTCACATTTCTGTGTGTTTCTCTCAGGTGGTCACTTGGTGCTATCATGTATGAAATGCTCGTGGGATATCCACCATTCTATTCCGATGAACCTATGTCCACCTGTAGGAAGGTAAGAATGGGAATCTGCTCCTTGGTTATGCATGATGAGAAGTCTTTTAACGTGTGGGATCACTGGTTGTCAGCTTTGTCTGTTTCATTCCTTTGGTCTAGTTATGCATGATCTTAGCTATTTTCATTTGACCTTAAATTTTGGGTTATGCTGGAGAGTCCAGGTTTTCTGGTGTTTCAATCAGGTAGTTTTCTGGCTTGGGACACAACGTCTGGAACTGCAGACTGCTTCAAAATTATTAGAACTAAAGCGGCTTTGTTGCTAATTGAAATTCAATGCACCGCGAAAAAACTTGAACTGCTTCCGAGGGCCGAGACTGCTCTTTGGCCCCTATCTAAGTTGAGAGACTTGGGAACGTAATTGTTTGCTGAGCACAGTGAGTCAAGAATATGAAGGCCAACACTTGTCGGCTATTGTCTTCGAATCATTATCAGTGTCTGATTTCTGGGGAAAGGAACAGGAGGAAGTAAAACAGTTTAACATTTGGCATTATTATATGAACACATGCCTCTTAAGTCTTATTGTTCAGAATCTTATGCTCTGCTGAGTTTATCCAGAGTGACTGGACATAATAGCATACTGTGGGGGCGCCAAAATATCCCGGGGCTTAAGCCTTTTTTTGTTTCCACCATATTTTGATTGTGTATACATGCATCACAATATTTGCTGACTAAGTATATCAACAATTCTTCTAAGATTAACTTTGACTAAATGCATTCTTACGCCATCCTTCTAGACACATAATATCAGTATTTGATAAAACAAATTCTTAATGGATTTACTATATGACCAATTTTGAACTACAACGAGCAAGGCTTGATCATTATTCAGTGAGTTGATCTTGATGCATGTGCGTTCTTGTTTGACATTCACAGCCATTTCTTTGTGACATAGGCAGCACTATATTGTGGGTTAGGTCAGGAAAAACTGGACATGTTCTCTAAGCATGATTATTGCATTTAGCAAAGTTTGCCCAAGATGTCTTAGAAGCAGTTTCTATTTTCATCAATTATAGTATGTAACCTTTGGTGAAAACTTGGCATGTTTGACGGTAACTATCCAACTTCAAGTTCCATTTTGATACTTTCTTGATGACAGTCCACTTTTATCTGTCTTGCTGCTACAGATAGTAAATTGGCGGACTCATCTTAAATTTCCTGAAGAAGCAAAACTATCTCCTGAAGCAAAAGATCTCATATGTAAACTCCTGTGTAATGTAGAACAGAGACTTGGGACCAGGGGTGCTGGTGAAATAAAGGTAGTTGGTGTGTTCGATGTAAATACTTAGAATGGGATTAGACTTGGTCAAGTTTAATATGCTAACTGTTTTTCAGGCTCACCCATGGTTCAAATGTGTTGAATGGGATAAACTTTATCAAATGAAGGCTGCATTTATTCCAGAAGTTAATGACGAGTTGGATACTCAGAATTTTGAGAAGTTTGAAGAGGTGTGCAAATTGCCCTTTTCAATCTTGGTTTCTCAGTCCCGTGCTACAGAAACCCTTTCGTGCAATCCTTATCTGCTTGTTTCTCATGTCTTCCTTTGCAATTCTCGTTTGCAGGGTGACAATCAAATTCCAACAGCGGCAAAATCAGGTCCTTGGAGGAAGGTTAGTACCGATGAACCTCTAGTGACTGCATAATTTGTAGTGGCTTTTTTTTTATTGTTCATAATTCGTAGGGGCTCTTTAAGTGATGTTAACTCTGTCATTCTGCTCTTGAATAATCAGCCAATAGGGATGATTTAATGAACTGCTTACAAGTTTCATAATTCATAGGGCTTGTTTCAATGATGCTATTCTGCATTTGAATAATCAGCTTATAGGAACGATTTGTAGGGTCTTCATTCTAACTTCGCTTTACATATGCAAGGGAAAACCTGAATTTGGGAAACTAGTTCTCTGAAGTAGCCGTTTCCTCCGAGTACTATCAATCCAAATGCAACTTCTAGCAGACAGATTAGAATTCCTGTTAAAGTACATTTCTATGTGGCAATTTAACAGAATTGAAAGTAATAAAGAGCCAGATACCTATATCTGTTTATTCAGCATTTAGTATGCTGGAAGAGGGGATCTGTGATGGTAAACAAGTTCTCTAGTTGAGCATTATTAAGTATAAGGATATGATTGCTGTTTCCAAATTGAAAAATTCATGTAATTATTACATTGTAAAGGATAAAGGGTACGAGACAGTTGAAAGGGAGGATGCTGCCGCCTTTATTGGAAACTAGTTAATTTGCTGATAGAAGTGTTCAGTATTGAGTAAGAGGAAAATGTTTCATTTTGCTATATATCATCAGCTAATCTTGTTGGCAGTTATGGTCATAGTGATTCATGTGGCGACATCAATACATCAACTTCATTAATAAATCTGTTCTCTATCCTTTTGTTTGTTGCTACAGATGCTTCCCTCAAAGGATGTCAACTTTATGGGCTACACTTACAAAAACTTTGAGATTGTGAATGATAATGATGTTGCTGGAATGGGTATTAAGCTTTTCCTTGCATTAAGTTATCCCTTTGATCTCAATTTGAACTTATCTAACATAGGATAAGTATGATTTGATTTCTGCTGCTATTTGTGCTTTCCTTATCAACCTTTGTTTTATGAGTATTAAATGGTTTATATTTGTTTCTTTTGTAATTTGTCTTGAAATGTTTTTTTTCCTTTTTCAGCTGAACTGAAGAAGAAGAGTAACAAAGCTAAGAGGCCAACTGTGAAGGCGCTTTTTAGTAGGATTTCTGACCCTCTTTTTATTCTGGTTGTCATAATGATTACTGTAGACTGGATTATTACTTCTCCTGGCATTGCTCCAAGAAATAGAGAGGCAATACCCAAGGAATGGAATTAATAGTTGCACGTCTTCACTTGCTCTACTTGCAACTTATATTGGGATTGAGCGTCACCTTCCTTTATATTGAGAAACATCCATAAAGCTTCTAATAGTTGGAGGTAAATAGAGTTTTTCTGAATGTTTTGTAATGTGGTAAAAGGAAATAGCTGATATAATATTATATCAGCAAAAACGGAAAAATGAATTGATTTCCACCACCGGGCCGTTGGTTCAACCATAAGGACATAGCACTTGGAGTGTGGGTTAGGTGTGGTTTGAAATGCCGTGGACTAAAATCCGGTATTTTAGTTGGGAGGAGGATAGGGGGAGGCCAATACTCTCGAGGTTTTGAACCTGCTGATACCTCACAAAGTGGGGGCCAGAGGCGATTTCTCCAATATTGAAAAGAACATTAAGAAAAAGAGTGATCATTCTCCGATATGAAAAAGAACATTAAGAAAAAGAATGGATCATTCATTGACTCTCCAGTCGCGGTTTTTCTTTTACGGCATTTTGTGTATCTGTTTCATGTGTTCTTTCTTGTTATCCTTCTCTCGTGGATCATGAAGTTTCTAAGAGTTGGAGAGCTAACGACAAATCTATCTCTGAAGTTCTCCTTGTGGTGGTAATTTCTTCAAAAGAAATGGTGGATATTAATTACTTTTAGCTTACAAGAAATGAGTTGATTATTTGTTGACTTCTGTTTGTGATACCTTTACAGCATCTTGTCCCTCTGTTTCATGTGTTATTTCTTGTTATTCTTCCGTTTATTTTTCTCTCATGGATCATGAGATGGTATAAACGTGCTAAAGTTATGGATGTTCATATGTTTGTAGGTGAGGATTCGGATGCATCCAACTCTCAACCTGCTCACGGGAGTTTCCTTAAAATGTTACCTCCACACTTGGAATCGTCAAAGCAAGCTGAACTATAGCGTCCAAACTAATCTGTTAATAACTGTATGACCATAGTGAACAAAGCAAAACATGCAACGTTCCCTCTGTTAAGTGAAGCTGTTGTGTTTTAACATAGGTGTATTTCAAGTGTAAAGTATCCACGACGAAGGCAGTTTTGCAAATCTGTAACTGCCTTGGTTCATAGTTGCGCTTGTTTTGTGTAAATTATTTCTTGGAAGTACATATCATTCTTTTTGTTGCTAGTCTGTAATTTTCTCTCCTCAGCTGCAGAAACTTGCACCCTTGTTCTTGTAATCTCTTCCACTATGAGTTTATTTATTTCAATAGCCTATCTCAAAAGATGAAAGTTTTAGTTTGAGTTCTACTAGAAGTGTACGCTCCCCTTGTTTATGCTTTCTGGGATTGAAACCACCTTTTCATTGTTGTGTTACTGTTAACTCGAAAAGAAGACGAAAGATGCTTTATTATTCTATAGTTCGCATGAACTGAGTTGGTTATATTGATGTCCCTCACCCCCTTGGCTGTGTAAATTCTGACGTTTGTTCTCCCGGTTGAGTGGGTTTTCCATACTTGTTGTAGTTGTTTCTTGTCAAAGGTGGCATGTTAATCGCAGACGGTTTAGCAATTGGGTGAAGTACACAAATAGCCCTCAAAGTGATTGGTCTTGAATTTTTATCTCAAATAGTTCTGCCCATGGGGCAAGCGGGAGTCAAAAGTTAAAGACGACTCTTAAAGTGTCATATTTTTGCAATTTTTTGTTAGCAAAATAACATGTGGGGTGCTTGTTCATCTATATCTTTGCTGCTTCTGCAAATTCAAAGGAATCACCTACCATGTTGTCTTTGTTGGGAATTTAACCTTAATTTCCCTTGTTTCATTCCCTTGGGATTTCTCTATTTAATTATTTTGATTACACTTCAATCTCAAAAGTATTTGGGGTTGGTCATATCTCATATGAGCTCTATATATCTAGCTTAGAGTATTTATCATACTTGGATCATTTTTGTGTTGGTAATCAATCTTTGGCAAATTTCCCCTCTATACGTATTCGGATTTGAGACCTAGCAATATATTGTGAAGCTCATGTAGGTGAGTATTTAGCTGGCGTTTGGACATAGATTTAATTGAAACTTGAAAAAAGAGTGTTTGACGTAGTGTTGAAAAATAATTTTTGAAAGTTAAAGTTGTTTTTGGACATGTATTTTATTCGAAGGAAAGTTAGAAGTTTTATGGTTGGAAGAAAAAATTTCACCAAAAACTATGATAAATCAGTTTTTGTGAACTTGAAGATTTTCGAATCCCCCCCCCCCCCCCCCAAAAAAAAAAAAAACTCGTATTTCATAACAAATAATATTTTTAGAATTTTTTTTTAAAAATAAAGCCAAAATCTATGACTAAGCGGGAGCTTAGTTAATGGTTACATCATCATTCAAAAGTTGAATCGGATTTGATCCAATAGATAATTCATGTTTTCGATGTAAATGCAGCTAAATTTCAATAACTTATTTTATTTGCTGATTCATAACAGAGTTTTAAAGGCAGAGGTGCATGACAGGCTATTTCAAATAACTTTCTTTTTTTGTGTTACATGGAATATTCTTTAAAAGCTTTTATTCTCTTTTATTTTCAATTGTGTGAATGTATTTTTGAGTTTTTATTGTTATTGTCAAAAAAAGTTATGCGAACAAATTACTCTCATTAAATTTTACTGTGCTCATTATTTTATTCATCAATTTTAGGAGGTGCATAAACTCTTATTTTATAGCTTATTTATAATTTTTTAAAATAATATTTATGTGATTTAAAAAATATACTTATCGGTACAAGGCACACGTGCAATGGTATGTTAAGACTAGTTGGACAATAGTTTAAATAGAAAAGTGAAAGGATTTGGCTAGTTTTAGTAGCATCTGACAGATTGGGCAAATTCGACATAAAATCGGTAGCCCAATTATAACTTATCCACTCAAAAATTCAAACGATGCTACATGAATCCCAAATAATATTCTCCTGTAGTTTTTTCTTTTTTTTTTTTTGAAAAGAAAAACATAACTGATCTTTGATCCAGTAGCTAATAGTCTCATTTTACAGCTTGTTTAGATGGTTGTTATATATCGTTTCATAATGTATTATATCGTATTGCATTGTACTGTATCGTTTGATGAATATAATGTTTGAATATATTATATTGTTTGTTATAGTTTTATGATATCATACAGCAGGCAATATGAAGAATAAACTTGCAATATTCCTCCTAACATGTCTTGCTCACTATTTCCATCTTCACTAATGTAACCATTTAAAAACCTCAAGATTCATTTACCCAAAAAACCATTGTACCAAAATGGATTTTTCCTATGAAAATGTAATCAAAAACCTTTTAAGAAACCCATCTTCTATCAAAACAAAGTCACAAGCTAAGCAACTCCATGCCCAAATAGTAAAAACAAGAGGGTCAAGGTCTGTTTCACTTGCCACTATAATTCTTCGCATTTACTCTGACCTTAACCTTTTAAAAGAATCTTTACAAGTTTTTAACACCTTTTGTTATGTACCCACAAAAGCTTTTAAATCTCTTATTAAGTGTTACTCTTGTAATGGCTATTTTCTTGATTCTTTAGCTTGTTTTGTTGAAATGAGAGGTTTTGGAAAGTTACCTGGCCAAGATGTGTTTCCTGCTGTAGTAAGAGCTTGTACCCATTTGAAAGAATTAAGGTTTGGTGAATCTGTTCATGGTTGTGTTGTAAGGTTTGGTATGGAATCTGATCTTTATACTGGAAACGCACTCATGAATATGTATGCAAAATTGCAGCTTTTATCACATGATTGCCATATGTTTGATAAAATTCCCCAGTCAAATCGCTTTGGTAGTCGTAGAAGCATTTTAGTACCTGTTTTATATGAGGAAACAAGAAATGAGTTGATAAGGAGTGAAAGAAACCATTTTGACACTTTAAATGGGAGGAGAGTGGATAAAGGTACAAGATTAGACAGTGTGAGTAAGATTTTTCAAATGATGCCGAATAAAGATGTTGTTTCGTGGAATACTGTGATTGGTGGGAATGTACAAAGTGGGTTGTATGAGGAAGCTCTGGATATGTTAAGGGACATGAGCAATGCCAATTTGAAGCCTGACTGTTTCACTCTGTCGAGCATCCTTCCTGTCTTTGCGAGGCACGTAGACGTTACAAAGGGAAAAGAGATTCACGGGTATGTGATTAGACATGGGTTTGACAAAGATGAGTTTATTGCCAGTAGTTTGATTGATATGTACGCTACTTGTACTAGGGTTGAGGATTCTTATAGGGTGTTCGATTTATTACCACAAAAGGATGATGTTTCATGGAACACAATAATAGCAGGATGTGTGCAGAATGGTACTTTCGACGAAGGGCTAAGATTGTTTAGGCAGATGTTAGCTGCTAATGTCAAGCCTGTGGAAGTTACTTTCTCAGCTATACTGCCGGCCTGTGCTCATTTGACCACACTACATCTCGGGAAACAGCTCCACACATACATAATGAGAATGGGATTTGATCAAAACATGTATATAGCTAGCTCACTCGTGGACATGTATGCCAAATGCGGGAAGATAATGACTGCTAGATGGATTTTTGATAGGATGGAGGTACACGATTCAGTTTCATGGACAGTCATAACCATGGGCTATGCCTTGAATGGACATGCTCGCGAGGCCATTGTTCTATTTGAAAATATGGAGCGTGAGAGGATAAAGCCCAATGCTGTGGCCTATCTAGCTATTTTAACAGCTTGCAGCCACGCCGGTTTGGTTGATGAAGGTTGGAATTATTTTACAAGCATGAGCAAATGTGGTGTTTCTCCTGACATCGAGCACTACGCTGCTATTGCAGACCTTCTTGGTCGTGCTGGAAGATTAACGGAAGCTTATAAGTTTATCACTGACATGCCTATTAAGCCCACCGGGGGTATTTGGGCTACGCTTTTATCAGCTTGCCGAGTTCACAAAAATGTTGACCTGGCTGAAAAAGTTGCCAAAGAAATGACTACAACCGATCCCGGGAACATGGGACCTTATCTGCTCTTGTCAAATATGTATTCTGCAGCTGGGAGATGGAAAGATGCATCAAAATTAAGAACTAATATGAAGAAGAAAGGAATGAGAAAACCACCAGCCTGCAGCTGGATAGAAGTTAGGAACAAAGTGCATGGTTTTGTCTCGGGAGACACATCTCACCCATATTATGATCAGATACATGAAGCACTAAGAGATCTTTATGAACGTTTGAAACGAGAAGGTTACGTTCCTGAGACGAGTGAGGCACTACATGATGTTGATGAGGAGCAAAAAGGTGATTTGCTCTATACTCATAGTGAACGGCTTGCAATAGCATTCGGTATTATTAGTACGCCTGCTGGGACAACCATTCGCGTAACCAAGAATCTCCGTGTATGCGTAGACTGTCACACAGCCATAAAATTCATATCCAAAATTTTGGGGAGAGAGATAATTGTGAGAGATAATAGTCGATTCCATCATTTCAAAGATGGGAATTGCTCATGTGGAGACTATTGGTGACAGTAACTATGGAAGTGTATCCATAATGTGGCGGTAAAGGGCTTCACTGTAAGCCAAAAAGAAAAAAAGGGAAACACATATGGGAAGGTTTCAAGAAAATAACAGAGATTATGTAGGAGTTCAGATAGTCTCTAGTATTTCGCTTTTTATTAGCAAATCTAGAGATCATGTCCGTTTTGGTCTGAAAATTACAAGGTCCTTCTGACGCTGTTCAACTATATGGTATTGGGGCCAAGAATTTCATCAATCCATTCAGCTAACTAACTGGATAAATGGTCTGATGTGAACTTCCGATTTTCTCCAGTGTGTTACAAAAGCTTAGAGACCTTGAAGCACTGAGAGCTTATAGTTGTTATGTCTTCATTGGTGATGACATTTTGGAATATCATAAGGTCGTATAGGATTCATCTGAGGAGGATACTAGGAACTGGACTTAAACTTTAATATTTTTTGTGTAAATTACAATTTTTTCTGCGGCGTTTGAATATTTTGCACAACCTGAAAAGAGAATTTTCTGAAAACTGTGCAAGTCTTTGATGCCAAAAATAATGCAATCTTTGTCATTGCGGAAACTATCTTTCTACATTTGCTTAAACATTGTTAGACACTTAATGCAGGGCAAGATTTGGAACTTCTGAATAGTCAAAATGTGTTTTTTCTCTCTTTGCAAGGCTGTTTATTTACATTTGTTGCACTTTCTTGATGCTGAATGGCTTAGGAGCTCTCATGAATTTTGGCAAAGATTTCATTCCAGTTCTAACTATATTGGTTTATGGCCTTTGAACGTTTGGATAGCATAGCGAGTGAACGGAAATGGGATGAAACTTGGTAGATATTCCGTTGATAAGAGCTCTTGGGAGTCATCAGCATGTTATCCTCGGGTTAAGCTGCAAGATCTATGAGTCTTTTTTGCAGATTATACCATGCTGCATGAGGCTACAATGTGGTCATGTAAAGTACTTGCCACATCTTGGGAAAGAATTTTCTTAAGCTTAGTTGTGAATTGTTTATTCTACATTGGTTGGATCTTTGTTATGGGAGTGTAAGTGAGATGATGAAGTTTGTATTTTCTGATAGGAGTTGGCATTAAGGAGACAGATCCTAATTCACATCAGGAAGAGGTCATAGTACCAGTAAAGTGAACGGGTAGCCCGGTGCACTAAGCTCCCGCTATGCAAGGGCCGGACCCTAAGGGTCTATTGTACGCATCCTTACCCTGCATTCTGCAAGAGGCTGTTTCCACGGTTCGAACCCGTGGCCTATGACAACAACTTTACCAATTACGCCAAGACTCCCTTAAATAGTACCGACCAAAGAAAGACAATATATAAAATAGTATTAGTAGTTTAATACAAATGTGTCTGAATTAACAATGTATTTGGTCATTTGAGTTATCCACTGTTTGTTCTTTGTCAGTTGGCATGTGAAACCAACATTTTAGATGCACAACTAGACAAAGTATCCCTGTGATTTTCTTATGTTTGATCCTTGTGATCTCCTTGCAGTCTATTTTTTAAGTGATTTGCTGGATAAAGTGAACAAAATGGTCATGATTTCATCTTACAATATGATCTCTTAGTCAGAACATGCGCAGTGAGACAAAAATGATGTTCTGATTAATATGCACATCTACAGTTACCGTCTTACTTAAAAAAAGTTATATAATTCTCTTTTTATTACTCTTTTATTTTTTTGGAAAGGACAAGGTAGACCTACACTTAAAATTGTCTCCAAAGATTGGTAATCTCGGAAAGGGATAACAATTCCAGGATAAAATGCGAAATTATTTTATCTCATGTTTGATTATAGATATTATTAGTTACGAAAATTATTTTATATTAAAATTGTGGGATTAATTATCCCATATAGAAGGCGAGATAGCTAATATCATCGAATATCACTACCCTTGAGATATTATTGTCTATCCCATCTTGGTAATCAACGACCTCGAAAAACTATTTTCTACGTTAGAAACAAGTATAAAGAAATATTTATTATTTTTGTCTTAATCTAAAAAAGAATCAAAAATCTTGAATTCAAATACTCAATGGTCTTTCTTTCTACGAAATCTAAAAATAATATATATATATATATATATATCAAAATAAATCTTTTATTTTCAAAGTTCCTCTAGAAAAAAGAAAAGAAATGGAGAAGTGTGATATTTCGTGTTTGAGATGGATTGTTGATTTAAGAAATCTTGTTTCAAGAAGAAAAAAAGAATAAAACATAAGAAAATAATATATCTTCTTAGTGGTGAACATTTCAATGTACTAAAATTTTATTGGTCTTCTTTAGTTATGAATACTATTAGTCTTCGGGTTCCTCAATTAGCTTTGACAAAATCATATGTTCTAGCTAAGATTATGTACGAAAAAGTTTAAAGAAAATAGTTGGCTTCAAATCTTCAACCCAATACCAATCATATTTGATTAATCATTAAATTGATGAATGGACATGATAATTTTTAAATATTTTAAACATGACGTACTTGTTCAATCAAATCAGAATTAATTTCGTGATCTTTGTATATTGATACAAGTTAAGAAGAAATCAAGCAATTAAGAAGAAGAAATCAAGCAGTAACAGTGAAGTTGAGTTGGCAGCTGACCTGGCAATAGTTAGTTATGTTAGTTACAGTCGGTTAAAGTTAGTTACAATTTGTTAGTTAATAACTACTTCTAGAATCTTCAGGTGAGCATATATAGCTGATATACATGTAATTGAGGGATTACTTTTGAAGATAATACAATTCTATTCTTTCTAATTTCTTCTTTCATTGAGCTATCTTCTCGATAATTCCTGATATAGCCATCACCTTTTTCGAGCTTCAAGCTCCTAGATTGACTATTCTTGTTAGATTCTGTTACATTGCATCAATTGATATCAGAGCTTCCTGTCCTTGGCATCTTCGATCATGACTCGCAGCAAAAATACAAAGAAACCTGTTGAAGAAATGGAGGACAAATTAACATCTATTCAAGATCAATTGCAGAAGTTGATGGATGGAACGATGATTATAAATGAGCATAATGTACAAACTGATAAGGAACTACTGGAATTGAAGGAAACCATGGGAGCTATGAATCAAAAAAGGGAAGGAGAAGGAGCCAGTTAGGGCAGAATCTGCTACTGGTCGAGTTGGTTCATGGAGATTCAGCAAGAAGGAAGAATCAGAGAAGTTCATCAAGGTGCAACTTCTAATGGTAACTTTTTTACTCGATACTCTAAGCTAGAATTTCCTCAATTTTCTGGCCATGATTTGAAGACTTGGTTGTACAAAGTCGACCAATTCTTTTCTATGGATGAAGTAGCTTTTGATCAGAGGGTTAAGGTGGCTTCTATTCATTTTGATGGAGAAGCTATTGCTTGGCATAGGTCATATGTGAAATCTTGGGCTTCAGTTTTAGAACCTACCTGGACTGAGTATGTGCTAGCCTTAAATGAAAGGTTTGGGGATGGGTTTGAAGATCATATGGAAGCCTTAAAGAATTTGCAACAGACTGGCAGCGTTAAGGACTATCAAGCTGAATTTGATAGATTGTTGACTGGGGTTAATCTGTCTAATGAAAATGTAATTAGTTGATTCTTAGGTGACCTTAAGCCAGAATTGAACAAAGCTGTGAGAATTCAGTCACCTAGAACACTTCTTCAAGCCTATAGAATTGCTAGGTTGCAGGAAGAGTATTTGAGGCTCAAGTCCAATCTTGGGGCCTTAAACCTAACATGAGAATCCACACTGCCCTACTACCTACCCCTAATCATAATAAAACTCAATATAACCAAAAGAGTCCATTACCAAACTCCACAAACAAGAAGACTTTTGAACCTGCTCTTAATAAGAACACTAGGATTCCTGGCAAGAGATTGAGTGCAGCTGAAATGGATGAGAAGAGAGAAAAGGGATTGTGCTTTTTCTGTGATGATAAGTATGTACCAGGCCACAACTGCAGAAGTAACAAACAATTGTACTTGGTAGAGGTGACAGAAGATGAAGGAATAGAAGTAGATGAACATGAAGGTCTGGCACAAGAACTATTGGCAGACTCAGGTGAGTTCATGGCTATCTCATTACAAGCATTTACAGGTGTAGCAGGTTATCAAACTATTAGAGTAACTGGCTACCATGAAAAGAGGCCATTACAAGTGTTGATAGACACCGGGAGTACTCACAATTTTATTGATGAGGAAGTAGCTGCAAGGCTAGGCTGCAAAGCTTGTTCTATTCAAAAACAGTCTGTGAGTGTAGCTGATGGCAGAAGAGTACAGACTGCTTTAATTTGTAAGGACCTGCAATGGCTATTACAAGGTGCAACATTCTCATTTGATTTCTTACTCTTACCATTGGAAATATAGATATTGTGCTAGGCGTGCAATGGTTGAATACTCCGGGGAGGATATTGTTTGATTTCAGAAAGAGAACCATTGAATTTATGTACCTAGGGAAGAGGCATGTACTTAGGGGTGCAAATGATCAACTCAAGTCTGCTAAGGCTAAGAGTTTGATAAGAAAGGAAGGAGCAGAGGCTCAATTCTTTATGATCTCTTTAGTAACCAGTGAGGATGAAAACATTCACTGCCATAGTATACAAGCATACCAAGTGATGATACCTTGCCAGACTTAGCAGCACTTATAAAACAGTATTCATGTATCTTCGAGTTGCCCACTACTTTACCTCCTCACAGGGGTTCTTATGATCATAGGATTCCTTTAAAAGAAGCTTCTAATCTTGTTAATAAGAGACTTACAGATACCCTGGGATTAAGAAGGATATAATTGAAAAGCTAGTGTAGGAAATGTTAGACCAAGGAGTAATACAACCTAGCACCAGCTCTTATGCATCTCCTGTAGTGTTAGTGGGAAAGAAAGATGGTAGTTGGAGACGTTGTGTAGACTTGATAGAATATATGAGTCCACCAAACTATATAGAGACCGGGTCCTATATAGGTTTTACAGATAATGCTAATGAAACAGCAAGTAAATAGAACAGAGAACTTTTACGTGGAAAAATCCATGCTCAAGGGGATAAAAAACCACGGCCTACACTGGTAGGATTTCAACTTCACTATGATCAATCTTTTAGATTACAACCTATGCAATTGAGGAATTAAACTCTTAATCTCTCACTAACTTGTAATACACCTATTACAAGCCACTTTGCAATACACCTATTACAAAGACTTTAACTCATGACTAACTCTAGTCACGACACAAACACTAAAGGTTTATGGTTTACAAGAGGTTCCTAATTAAAGCTTCTAGATAAGCAAAGTAGGAATTACAATGAAGAACAATTACAAAGTTACAACTCAACTAAGGACATACAAGATACTTGCTGTAGGAACTGGTCCGTAGTAGTGTTGTACTTTTTTTTTGATGCACTTGAGAATGCTTGATAAACGAACGGTTGGAGTGCTTGAATATGAATTCTCAAGTGTTCAAGTGATGTTTTGTTGTAATGCACTTTGTTAATACAACTTGGATGACATCACTTGAATGATGTAATCACTTGGTTGGTCAAGGGGAGTGATTGTTGTACTGTGCTGCACTGTTTGCGTGTACAATGCAGGCTGTCACTTTCCAGCTGTAGACAGTTGACTTCGTACCGCTGTCAGAGAAACACGAGGGGATTAGGTCCCTGTGTTGATTCTTTATCTTCTGAAG